TTGTTTGAGCGGCACAAACCCACCCACGTCATCCACCTGGCTGCCATGGTCGGGGGCCTCTTCAAAAACATTCGCTACAACCTGGATTTTTGGGTGAGAGCCTGGGGAATGGGTGGTATCAGGGTCCCTGTGGATACTGCAATCCCCTGTCCTCCCAAGCTGTGGCATGGGAACACATACTCTGCTCCGGGGGCAAAACCAGAGCTCCTCTGGTTTCTGGAGTTACTATCCATAGGGTGCAGGGTTTTGGGGGGTCCCCATCCCCCAGATCGGACAAATCTCTTCATCCCCAGAGGAGAAACATCCATATCAACGACAATGTCCTGCACACAGCATACGAGACAGGGGTGCAGAAGGTGGTTTCCTGCCTCTCCACCTGCATCTTCCCAGACAAGACAACGTACCCCATTGACGAGAGCATGGTGAGCATCTCCATCCCCATGCACAGCCCGGGGTGGGGGGTCCCTGCCCTTCTTAACTCTGCTCTCTTGTCCCCAGATTCACAATGGACCACCACATAGCTCCAACTTCGGCTATTCCTACGCCAAGAGGATGATTGACATCCAGAATAGGTGTGGGAGGGACACGGGAGAGCCCTTGCAGGCCTCGAGCACCCTCTTGTTATCAGGGCAAAGGGAATTCCCTGGGGCTCCTGGGATTTAAATGGAGCTGGGGAGGTACCTGGGCTCAGCAGATGGACATGCTGCTGGCTGGGGTCTTCTGGGAACAGCTCTGTGCTGGAGGGATGGGTGACTATGGCTGGTTGACACCCCACCCCCGCCCCCAGGGGCTACTTCGAGCAGCACGGCTGCCGCTTCACCGCCGTCATTCCCACCAACGTATTCGGGCCACATGACAACTTCAACATTGAGGACGGCCACGTCTTGCCAGGGCTCATCCACAAGGTCTACCTGGCCAAACGTGAGTGTGGCAGGGCTTCTGATGGCTTTTTGTTCTGGGGAAGGGTTGGGTTGTTTGGTTATTTCTCCCCTTCTGCTCCATGAGCTGCTCTGCAGGGTGGCTGGGGTGAGTGGAGGTGGCTCTGATGCTCATGGACACGCTCTCTTTCCTCTTCCAGAGACCGGCTCTGCTCTGACCGTCTGGGGCACGGGCAAGCCCAGGAGACAGTTCATCTACTCCCTGGTATGCGTGGCCTCGGAGAGCGGTCACCTCCCATGGCTTGGGCAGGGCAGGGTATGGGGCTGGAGGGGCTGGTGCCCGGACCCCAGCAGGCTCTGATCCCACTTGGGTTGTCCTGGGCAGCATGGGCCATCCTCAGGGTTGGGTCCACTTGTGATGGGAGGGCTGGGGTACAACAGCCATCCCCCCCAAGAGCCATCTGCCCCTCTGTAGGACTTGGCCCGGCTCTTCCTGTGGGTCCTGCGGGAATATGATGAGGTAGAGCCCATCATTTTGTCAGGTAAGCCCCATCCAGTCCCCTGAAACAAGGGGCTTCAACCCCTTCCCAAGTGGATGGAATGACCACAATCATGCCCTTCTCCACAGTGGGAGAAGAAGATGAAGTCTCCATCAGGGAGGCAGCAGAGGCGATCGTGGAGGCCATGGACTTCAGGGGAGAGCTTGTCGTATCCTTCACTGCAAGATGACCCCCCCAACCTCACAGGACTGCTGTGGTATGGGGGGCCCCCCACTTTCCACCAGCACCCATAGGGGCTTCCAGGGGAGATGCTGTGGTCCAGAGCAGCACCCTGAACATCCCACCTACTCCAGCACTTTGAGCATCCCTTCCGCTACCCCAGCCAGGACAAGGTGGGGCAGAGCAAGACCTGGTTTTCTTCCTTTGTTTTCCCTTAATCCCTCCCATCCCAGTTCGACACCACCAAAGCGGACGGGCAGTTCAAGAAGACAGCCAGCAATGCCAAGCTCCGGCGCTACCTACCCGGCTTCCAGTTCACACCCTTCAGGCAAGGTGAGATGGGGGGTCTCCACGGAACATGGAGGTGCCACCCACTGCCTTGGTGGCATCAGGGGGGTCTTCACAGAACCTTGGTGGCATCAGGGGAGTCCTTCCTTTCAACACCCAAAGGGTGCTTAGAAGAAAGGTGGAGGGGCTGTAGCAATAGGACAAGGGGTGATGGTTTTTATATTCAAACAGGGCAGAATCGGACCAGATAGAGAAGGAATTTTTTATGCTGAGGGTGGTGAGGCACTGGACCAGTTTTTCCAGAGGGGTGGGAGTTGCCCCATTTTAGGGAATATTCAAGGTGATGGGGGTCTGAGTAACCTGGTCTAGGGGAAGGTGTCCCTGCCCATGGCAGGGAGGTTGGAACTGGATGGTCTTTGAAATCCCTTCCAACCCAAACCATTCCATGATTCTGTGAACAAATTGCATTCTCAACCCCCAAAACCCATCCCACCTTCTCCCTCCCCAGCCGTGATGGAGACCTGCGCCTGGTTCAGCGCCAACTACACCAATGCCAGGAAGTGATGGGCCAAAGCGGAACCGACACCGGCGTCACCCGGCACCGGCACTATCCTCTTCATCTCAGGGTTGTCCTTTGCTGGGGCAGAGGACAGGGCTGGCGGGGGGGGGCGGGGAGGAAGCAACAAGGATATTTCCAAAGTAAAAGGGAAGTAAAAGTAAAAGTCCTGTGAGCAGCCCCCACATTCCTGCCCTCTGCTGGGAGCAGTGCAGGACACCCCGGACAAGGGGGGAAAGAAGGATGGGTCATCCCAAAGGCCATGGTACCAGCTGCCACCACCCTGTCTGGGGTCCCTCCTGCTGAGCTGTGATGGGCTACGCTGCTAATTACCTGTAATTAGACTGTAATAAAGGGAAGGTGATCAGGGTGGTTTCTCCCGGGCAGGAAGGGCAGCTCAGCATTTGCTCTTGCTTTTGGTACATGGGGATGTACCAAAGCCCCCAGCATTGAGATGGGGAGACCCAAAGGGGGAAGGCTTCAGCTTTAAATATGACATTTATTAAAAAAATACACAAATAGCTTAAAATTGGTGGGACAAGGAGCATCTGCCCCACAGCACAATCCAGTACCCATGTTGAGTGACACCTGTAGGGTCCTCATCACCCCGTGTGTTCTCCACCAGGATCTGGAAGAGCCAAAAATGGGCTTAATACCCCCCTGAGGTGGGGTAGGGGGTCAGACACAGGGGGGTAAGTCTGTGGCTGTGCGGGTCAGCTGGTGGCATGGACATGGCAGAAGTCCTGCCCGGGTGTGGCTTTCTTCCGGCACCGCTGCCCAGCCCTGGTGAGCCCCTGGCATGGGGACAGCGAGGACCTACAGAGGAGAAACCCATCAGCACCCCAGGAAACTCCCAGAAGGGCTTTTCCCCCTTCACCGTGGGGTCACTGCCTGCACCCCAAGGTGAACACCAGCCCCTGGTGTCCCTGGGGAAGGGATGACCCCCACGGTTGATGCTCACATGTTGCTGGCTAGAGACTGGCTCGGGCTGCAGGGTTTGGGCTCCCAGCGCTTCCCAGTGCCTGTGGCCGGCTCCAGCATCGCCTGGTTGGGGAAGAAGGGGTTTAGACAGGGCACCCTCCATCCCTGCTGACCCTGCAGGAGATGTCCCTTGTCCCCTGGGGACACGTGGGTCATACAGGATAGGGGGTCTTGGCCATCCTTCCAGGACACCCCCCAACCACCACAAATTTCTCCCTGTGCATCACCATCCCCAGCCCTGGCTCCTCTCCTCACGGGGGGTCCAGCACCCAGAGGTGCTGTCATAATGAGGGCACCCCAAACCCTAGAGGACCTGACCCTCGGGAGGACGCACCTGGCCGCCAGGAGCAGGGTCTGACCCAGTCTGGGGCCATCCCACCCAGCACCTACCCCCAAGCTCAGGCTTACCCCACACGAGCTCAGCTTTGTCCTCTTGCTGCAGGGGATGGGTGACACACCCACTGCTGGGCAGGAGGTGACCTCTGTCATCCCTGGGGGCTGCTCCAGGCACGGGGGCTCTGCAAGAACACAGCGTGGGTGGTGACAACGCCAAGCGCTGCTGTCCCTAGGTGTTGGATGGGGACACCCCAGGGTGGTGCACATGCCCAAGCATAGCTTGGGGACACTGGGGTAACACACATGCCCCAGGACAGGATGGGGACATGCTTCAGACCCCCGTCCTACAGCCACCACACCTCCCACCTCATGGTCATCTCCCACGTTGCTCTGCCCAGGCAGTTCTCACCTTTTAGGACGCTCATCTCCATCCTGTCCAACTCCTCCTGCAACAGCTCCATTTTGCAGTCCCTATGTGGGAAGGAAGAAAACTAGAACTCCATCGCCTTGGCAGCTTCTGCGTCACCATCATGATGGCAGCCCCCTCCCCAGTCTCCCCACACCCTCCTCCAGGCAGAAATAGGGCAGGGACCTGGCTGGAGGTGCCCAGAAGCTGCCAGCAAGGATCAAGGTGTGTCCTCCTCCCTCCTGGGGACTAACAGCCCACCCTGGGGACCTCTGCCACATGGCAGCAGGATGGGACATCCAGGATGAGTGTCCAGGCTGGGTCCTAGCAGATCCCAAGGATACCACACCTCCTCCCCCACCCCCAAACCATCTCCTACCTTTCTGGGGTGGAGGTGAGGTGGTGATGGGGCTCCTCCTGGGGAAACACCAGCCAGGCTCCCCCAGCATCACGGCAGGCAGCTGTCACCAGCCATTGCCCTGAGGGGAAGCGAGAGGGTGGGAGAGGGCAGGGCACCCCTAGCCCACCCCCCAGGTCCCCATGTCTCGAACCAGGTCCCTCCATACCCATCCCCACCTGCCACAACAAAGACCAGGAGAGTGAAGAGTGCCGGGATGCCGAAGAGTTCGCTGAGTATGCTGGAGGCGAGGAAGAGGAGGATGGCACGAGGCGGAGTGGGCACCAGTAGTGTGACCAGCAGCACAAAGTAGGAGCCGTGTAGGATGCAGGTGGAGATGGCACTTGGGCTCCAACCTGCAGGACAAGGAGCAAGAGCCCAGCATTGGCACCCACTGCCACCCACCCTCCAGCACCCATCCCCGGCTCACCGGCTGGGTGGAGGTGCTTCAGATGGTTCTCCAGCTGGCTCCGTGCACCCTCCACAGCCACCAGCATCAGCCCCAGGCTCTGGTTGACCCGCTGCAGCTTCTTCATCACCTCCTCCATCCGGCGCTGCTGGGCCAGGAGAAGGGACAGGTCACACTCTGCACATGGATGAGATGGATACAACATCAGGATAAGCTGGGGAAGCTGCACCCAGGGGCATCCCAATGCAAAAAAATCTGGGAATGGGGTTTGTCACATTCCCACCTAGCTGGGAATAGATATCCCGAGCTCTTTCCTACGCACGGGTGATGTCAGACACGACAACCCGGTGCTTTTCCCGGTACCCCATGTCCCCACAGCCGCTCACATTCCCTGTAGGGAGGCACAAGAGGTTGGGTTGGTCCCCAGAGTGGGATGCAAGGATGTAGCAGCATCCTAGCTGGTGGCTCTTACCCATCTGCTGGGTGATGTTCTCCATGAGCTGGGCCAGCCGGCGCTGCCCGCTGGCAAGGAGGGTCTCATCCAGCGCTGGCTGCTGCAGGTGCTGGTGCTCCGGGGTCTCCACTCCCAGCTGCTGCCACCAAGCCGGCTGCTCCTGCAGCTTCTCCTGGCATGAACGTTGAGGGGGAGTTAGTTATGGGGTGGGTCCATAGCCCCCCCCAAACCCTCAACCCACAGTGATGCTCACCATCTCATACCAGGTAAATGCTGGCTCTCCCCACAGGCACCCCCTTCAGCATCCCAAAAATGAGCCCCCAGTGTTTAACCTCCATCCCACGGCACTGGGGAAAGAGACTTTGGAAAAGCCTTTGGAAGCTAACTTGGCTGGGTGGGAATGGGGTTAGAGGTGGAAACCCCAAGAAATGGGCTAAACAGGGCTAGTTTTATCCCAAAATGAGGATGAGAGGCTGAGCAAAGGTGGCTGGGTGCTGCTCAGGCTCTGTGGCTACACAGTTTGGATCTTGGGTGTGCAGTTCTGATGGAGTACTATAGGATTTGGGATGGAATCGGAGAAAATAGAATTCGGGGTGCCCTGTGCAGATACCTTACCGTGCCTGGGGTGCAGGGGTATGTCCACCAACCCTGGCAGTCAAGCAGATCCTCCCTCAGCTTGGCCGACTCCTTCTCCTCACTCAGGTTAGCACAGGATGAGCGGAGCCATGCCACAACCTGGAGGTGGCACCAGCATCAGCGGGGCCTGGCACCCACGGGTGCTCCTGGTGCAACCCAGCGCTGCCACGATGGGGATACAGAGGGGTGTGTTTGGGGTGTGAAATTAAGGAGAAAAGCACGAGCCCACCCTAGCACTCGCCTTCAATGCCCAGAATCATCCTGCACTGGTATGGGGCACCCCACACGCAGCCAAGCATCTACCTGGGGGGGTCCTAAGCCA